AAAAAAAAAAAAAAAAAAAAGAGCTCAGGGGGTTGACCGGGGATCCTGCTGAGATTACTTTTTACTCAGGGTGCTCGATGTCCACTTTGTACGTCAAGGACTCTTGGGTGGCCAAGTACAACGCGTGGCTGTAGCAAGATTTGTGCTTCTGACAACCTACGAAGCTAGATTGCACACTGCCAACTTGTGAAAAAGGAGCATCAGGCTCCACAGGAACCCTTTACCTGCTGTGGCGTTAGCGTTTGACCGCCGTCGTTGGATACCCAACCATGCTACTTAAGGATCAAACAAGTCTGGCTCAGTTTACTGCATTGAGGGCTGGCAGCTGCGGTCGCAAATCTGGCTTCCAATTGAGAACTATTTCAAAGCCGGAGATGGGTGTCCCTCCAACACCCCAAGCACAAATGCCTTGCCGTCCCCAGGTGTTGGGGTTCCGCTCCGGGACGTCCTGCGGCTATGGCAAAGCCAGTCAAGGTATTCAGCAGGGTTGGCACAAGTGTTAGCAGGTATGCGCAGAGTCAATCGTTCCAGTACCATAAGAAAATAATTATCAGCAATTATTATCTCAACGAGAGCATGTATTCTGATAGTGGCGACGAATTCATGGTGGTAGTAATAATGATAGCGACGACAACAGCTGCGGCAGCAGCGGTCGACAGTGGTGCTGCTGCAGCAGCTATACTCATAGATCTTCTGCTGCTGCCGCTATGTCCCTGTCTTACGTGGTCATGATAGAAGGAGAGGGCTAATCAAGTGTCAGTATCCTGCACCGCACCACGTTCCGGGGACTGTTGCGCGCTGACGTTACACTGCATCCACGTTGGCCGCCAGCTGCTAAGACAAACGAATCTTCAAGAAACTGCAGTTTTTCCCTGCAGCCCCCGACCCCAATTCTCCGTACTGGTGACTGGTAAGGCATGAAGGAACGCATTGGAAAGTTGGCGGGTATGTCTGGAAAATGGGGGTCCCCTTATTTAACCCGAAATACTGGGGACGACTTAAGGGATACATTCCTCTTTTTCCTACCAACCACCAGTAAGACTGCGGCTTTAGCGTTACTATCGGGAGCGGTGCATGTCTCCTTAAGCACCAGGTCAAGTCAGCCCTGAGTCCTGCACCAAGTAGTCCCGCAATGCAGCTATCATGACGCTTCCTGGGTGGTTTAGGGTTTAGGGTTGTTTGGAGGCTCTCAGCTCGTGCACATGCAAAATTCTCACATGCGTCAAAAACCCTTAAAGAATCTCATGAAGGTACTGCGCCAGCCTTTCAAGGTCTCCAGCCTCCAAGTTGACCACTTCCACAACAAGTCATTAATATTTTGGGCTTAGGGTTTAGGACTTGGGGTTCAGACAGTTAAATCAATAAGATCATGGCGCAAAGTCTTGAAACCATGGGTCTCTTCTGCGGTAGTTCTTGCAATGACGGTCTTCTTATGGCGCAGCAACGTTATCTATAATTGTCGAGTGACTATAACTATAGGTGGATGGGCTATAACCCGGTTATTACTTGAGTGTCTTACTACCCTGCAAGATTTCTATATCTGCCCAAACAAGGTGTCATCTTTTCATAGAGACCACAAGTGGGAAGATCCAATGTGACTGGAGGAGGGCAGCAGATCTTTGCCCAAGCAATTCTAATCCTATGCTGCAATGCTATACAACCCCCATCGTTAAAGCACTAGAATACATTTCTGGGTGGCATTATACTATTGCTTCGGATTAAGACGGAACAGCGTTGGTAGACGTTCAGGCGTCTTCACTGTGACTATTTTTCTCCGCGACGCTCTGTGCAAATGGAATGGGCTCGCCCATCATCTGGAGAATGTCCGGAAACTTCCTGGCAATTCTTATTGGTGATTTGTGGGGCATGGAGGAGTGGATCCCTATAGTATTCCTTACTTCATCCCCAATAGCCCAAAATCCAAATCCTATGCACCCGTAAAGGCACCCAGTTTGCATTTCAGGTTTCATTTGCCTTCCCGTTTGATTTTCCGTTGTACGGGTTATCCTCGCGTAGACCCCTGTTATACAAGCAAGCGTGGCTCTTGGCAAAGGACGGCGGCCATCATGATAATCAACGAAAGAGTGAAAAGGTCAACAAACGAGTGGGCATCTGAACAACCATAGCAGCGTGCATGACCTTTTATATTGTAATTAAAATTCCTAAGGTATGAGGTATTTAAGGTCATGCAGGATTTGTTGTACCCATTGTAGCACTAACATCGTCGTAGTTCTGGTCTTTGTCTTTGGAGCACCCAGTCCTCTTGACGGCAGCGTAGATTTGTCCCAAATGGAACCACGGCGCATAGCTGGTTCCGCTCATAAGGTAGCCTGTTTAAGCAAACGTGTTCCGGTACTCTGTTTTGGCATGGTCCCTTGTAGTTGATGATATAAATCCTGCATGGCCGGAAGCACAAAATACTATTACCTTGGGAATTATGACATCTTAGCATAATGAAGTCACTTAGGGTGTCTTAATGTCAACAAGATCCCAGCCATTCCCATTTCAACTATCCAGTCCTTTCCCTTGCGTACTGGCGGTTAATAAGGTGGAAAAAAATGGGATTTCAGAATTATGCTTAGAGACTAGATAATATGCTGGGCTGGGCCAACTGGAGAATTTTGGAAAACCTCAAGGAGCCGTCTGAGGCTGGGGGGAAACAGGAAAAACACGGGAAGATCAGCTTTCTGAGCTCTAAACCCATTTAGCAAAATGGTGAGCGTGCTCCGGCCTTGGGGTTTAGGGAAGCATGCAGATCCAGAAGCTTCCTAAAATTTGGGGTAAAGAGGCTCTGCTCTCCTATCGCGATGCCGAAACAACCCTTTAGACTTGCACAAGCCTCAACCTGAAAAACACAAGCCCTGACCTCAACAATAAACACGTATATTGTAAGGATCTAAAGAAACGCCAGTCTCCGTTTCAGGTTTGGTTGAGGTACCGTGTACCATCATGATACCAGGAACAATATGATTGGTAGCTCCACATTCCTGACCCTGTATCTGAGATCGGGCCTGTCAGATTCATCTCCATGACGAAGTCACGCGCAAGGTACTCCTAGGCTTCAAAGCTTCGTATCTTCCCCAAGCTACCAAACACCACTGGAACTACTAGCATTGCGAGTGTTCTTGGTGTGTTTGCGCTTACCATCATGACTGTTTTTGTACTGTAGTCCTGTGACGATCATTTATTTTCCCCTATAGAACCGCTATTTGCCCTTGTAGCCCTATACAATGCCAAATGTTGCCAAACAGCTCCCTAAATCGCAATCAGTAAGATCATTTGTTCGGTATTGTTCTTACGGTTGTCTCAATTTCTTGTGTTGCTGACCAGAAGAGGCTGATATGATAGCTTCTCCGGAGAGCGCTTTCATTGCACTATCGGGGCCTAGAAATTACCAAGGGGATAAGGATTAGACAGGATCATATGGGGATGTATAGGGGTCATGTTGGGATATGTGGGGTTTAGGGTGTAGATGCCCAAATAAGTACAAGCAGCGCAGCACCAATTGGAAAGGCATTGGAAAATTACAAGGAAACTGGGTTCATAGTTGGGCTATTGCACAGTTCTAGGGCTTGTGGAATGTACGCTGAGCACTGTTCTTCGCTCTAACTCGAGCACGCATACTCTGTTCCTTTTTCACTCTTCCAATCTGGCATCCCTTACCTGGGTCATTCCCAGGATTTGCTTTGGGTTCATATGCATCACTGTCGACTGTCGACAAGTCGGATATGACCCTTCTGACAGACAGATCGCTTCGGTACACCCAACCGAATCGGTCAACTTAATGCATACAGTCGCATACCTGCACTGCCCTCACGCTAAAGCATTCCATTTGAGGGATGCTCCACCGGAGTCCACTCATACAGGGAGGGATGAGTGGGGAGAAGAAGACTACGTATGAGTAGGGAAGCCTAACTGATTACCCATATCATTTCGGGTCTATTCGAGGTAGCCGTCTACCATGAATATACCAAGTCGGATATTACCACTTTACCTCATTCTCGTATCAGTATCCGTCAGACGCTGGCTCTACGTCATACTAGTCCCTCAACAGAAACTCAAAACACGGAAAAGGTCTCCAGTCCTGCATCAACCAACGAAGCCACTCCAAAAGCCTACGCCAAACCCTCACCTTGAGTAAAAGATTGGACCCCGCCTCCAGCCTCTGACGCTCATGCTTAGGACCCTTCTCAAAGGAGTGATTTACTAGAAATAAAATAGCCAAACAACGCTCCAGGGTAGATGCAGTATCCACATAAAGTAAAGCTGGACTCTGTGTTCAGGATGACTTTCCTGGCCAAGTCCTTGCTTTGCTCGTCTGACCTTGATGACGGGTTAGGGTGACTTGGAACTTCAAGAAGGGGTGAGGGATTATGGTTTCGAGGCTAGTGCACTTCTTTCGACACTTTGGAATCCCTCGAACACATTCCAAATCTCGTGTCAAATGATCTTTGAGCTGGACTTCAGTTGTTGGGCAACAGCAACCCCATTCACGCTGTTGTGATACCTGCCATGGTTCTGTCTTGTATCCGTAGCTATGCCTACAAGGGACACTCAACCTTACTATCTTGCCATTCTTCCCTGTAGCCTCTCCCAGATAAGCATGGAAGCCCAACAGGTCGGACAGCGGCCTACTTGTCGTTCCATGTTAGCGCGGGGGAAGATACTTACTGTACGTCCGAGCGACGGGAGGGACTCGATCTTGTTGGCTGCGCGGGAGAGCAGCATGCCTCCTAAGCACATTTTGGGGAGCGGCGGCGGCGTTCAGGGCTCAGGACTGCAGCTTCAAATCTCACGGCTGCTGTCAGGACTTACCAGGCTTAAGTAGCGTGCGCTTGTGCTAATGCACTGGAAGCTGTCAAGACAATAAGGAATCCGCGTAATCCTTGCAAGCGGGTTTTAGGGTCTGGTTCTGATGGGGGCTACATGGGAATAATTTGAAAAAGCTTCTATGTTGAGAGGGGGACTTCGATGGACGCCGAAACCAATAGGTTGTCCCAAAGCGGCGATGTGCGGAAGGACAGCTGGACCAGGTATTCATCTCGTTCGCCGCGTTGTAGAGGTTGAAGTCCACTGCCTGAAGCGGGAACTCCATGCTACCACTAGCATTACCATTACCACGAAAGCCGCCGCCGCCGCCGCCACCACCACCACCACCACCACCACCACGATCAGGACGCGAGCACGACCACGACGAAAACGACCACGACGACCACGATGCGACGACCACGACGACCACGGCCACGACGGCCACGACGACCGCGACGACGCTGACGACGAGGACGAGGACGAGTACCGCTACCACCACTGCTACTTCTCATCCTAAATCACCACGATCACTACGAGTACCACTAAACTACTACCAGACTACCACAGCCGTGCTGGCTAAGGGCTTATGGCTGCCCAGATGCCTTTCAACGTACAACAGCCTCGTACCGTACCACGGACAGAGCGATAACGCCTAACACCTAAATCCTATTCCAACCAAACCTTGCCGCACTGACTTCTGCGCGTTATATACAGACCTGGCGTACTCGCCGCCGATCAAAGTGACTAAGAAGCAATTTAGAGGTTTGAGAAGCATCACTTATGCCATCAAATCAAAGCCCTGAAACATCACGGTGAGCATACAAAACCGTCCTGCATCGTAATCCCTTCATTCGAAACCCTAACCCCCTAAAACTGCAGAGCCCCAAATAAACAATTCTACATCTGGTTTTTGATTGGGAGACGACCAAAAATACAATGTAACATGGCCTATGGGCCTTATGGGTATCATTCAAGATTAATAATGACCCAGACATCATCCGTCAAGCCTGAAAAGGAGCTCGCATCCGGAGGAAGGCAAGGAGCCGTATGCAGTTCTTGGCACCTTTGCTCGCCATGGGTGGAGAGCTCCATGGGTCTAGGGTTTAGGGTTTAGGGATAATAGAAAAGAAAATGGAAACTACTATAATGGGATTATATAAGGGTTCGGGTTAGGACAGGGTTTATGGATTTGCGTTTAACCCTGCAGTCTAGCAGCGTCAGGACTGGATAAAGACGCATGACTAGTTTCTATAGGTTTGCTCCCTGGCGGCCCTAACGGATCTACACCTGGAACTTCGGCCCCAAAATTAGGGGTCACCATGACTTACCCTTCAACACTATAATCCCCTTTTTTAAACAAACAGAAGGATCCTCAAAAAGTGATCCCTAAAAATATGGTCCACACAACTTTGGGTCCGTTTCCCACATTCTTTGGCTTGAGATTTCCGGGTTTGGGATCTACCGGAGGGTTTGGGGTTTTGGGTTTAGGGAAGAAGTTGCTGTCAAAGCTGTACGGAGGTGTGTCACGGAAAGGATCTCTGAAAGACCTGAAGAGCACTATTACTATTACGCTATGTGCGCTGATAGGGAGCCTCCGGACCCAGAATACCGAATCATCATCCCAAAACACTGGTGTCAGATCATAAAAAACAGACACCAGATCTGTTAGCGAAAGAAAACCATCTGACAGTTCCCACAGCTTAGGGAACCTCGAATACGCAAAAGGCTATGTACATAAGTCCATGTCACCCTTCCAAACACCCCAAATCTTTAGCACTGGACCCCCAGAGAATAAGCTTCAAACCTTCACCCTGAACCTTTTTCACAGGCAGGCCGCGCACATTCCCCTCCGCTCACAAACAAAGCCCATCTTCCTTGTATGTACTCAACCCATTAATTACTGGGACTTTTTGGGAATATTCCTTGACAAGGGGGCGTCATTTGGGGATTGAGCCACCCAGGTGAAGATGCACTGCACGCACACTTTGCTTCCTATCCATGCTGATAGCAGGAGTCATCCGAAAATCTAACCCTTCAATCATCCAAATCCCTACACAAACACTCAATTCTAAACCCTGAACGCTCAAGCCCAAAACTCTAAACTGTAAACCCTACAACAAGCCCTAAGCCCGAAGCCAATTGGACTCAGATTCCTGCTATAGTGCCCTATAGGGTCCCGCAAAGACAACAACTTGAAAGCTGCGGCACACCACTGCTCGACCTCCTCTGTTGTGGGCCTGTCGTCGCAGCGGCGGTCGAAGCCCGGCAATTGCCCCGCGGAGGGGAACCTCAACACACGGTTTAGGGTTTAGGGTTTGATGGTTTTTTGGGTTTTAGATGGGCTTTAGGATTTAGAGTGTGAGGCTTAGGGATGACTGCTTAGGATTTAGGGTTCGGTTAGGTTGCTTGGGATCATAAGGGGACACTGCTAGAGTCTGGAGCTGATCAAGAGAGGACGAATGAATCCCCAAGTTCCACCTCGGCGGTGTTCAAGGTGGAGTGTATGCCATGGGGTTTGAGGCACTGGCTTGGGAGTCTTAGGTAGGAGGATGTGCACGCTTGCAAGCTGTAAATTTCACACTGCCGCAAGGGGCAGTAGGTAACGAATCACCTCGCACGAATAACAACTTAGAAAGCATTTTCCCCGAAAATCAAACTACCATGAACGGGAATACTTATTGGCGGGTGAGGGGGCTCACTGGCCTCTACAGCGCATGCTTAGCCGGTCGCTCAGATCGTGCCATGGGAGGGAAATCGGGGTTCACCTTACCTGCCTTATCCCTGCTCATACAAGAACCCACATTCACGTAAGTCCATTTTGGTACGTAGGAGGAACAATTATTATTTCAAAAGAGGTGTTTCATTAAGGAGGAGAGGGAAGCAGCTGCCCCAAAAGAAGCTCAGGTCAACCCGCTTAGCCAGGGCTGCCCACTGCCTCAACGTATACGGCTCCCAAACATCTGCGGGAGAAAATCTAGCTGCTACTTGCGTGGCTTCAGCCCTCTAGCAGGATTAGGGTGGATTTTTTTGAGTGCGCCCAAACTGGACAATAGGACAGACCCCCTAACAACGGTGCAACGGGTCGAAAACGCGCGCCGGGAGGCGCGGGAGGTATGCAGCAATGTCAAAATCACTGGCAGGCGTGGCATATTCTGCAGT